CAGTGGCGAGGCCAGACTGTGCAGGCCCATGGCCATGGAGAGGGGCTGAGGACAGGAGGTGTTGGAGGATTTTAAGCACTGTCATTGGAGCTGAAAGGCTGGTGGGGCATGGCTACTGATAAACAAGGTGCGGAAGGTTCATTTCTATGGCCATGCCCGTAATGCCCTCTGGGTTGTAGAGTCCTTCTGTTTAGGTAAGAACTAGGAAGGGCCTGGAAGGACCCAAACAAGAGAGACTGTGATGTTCTGCCTGCTGCCCTACCACCAGGTAAACACCTGTGAGCAGCCTCTTGGCCAGAGGAGCCCAGAAGTGGAAGTCAAGGCTGATGCCCCTGGTCACTTCCGAGGAACAACTTCTGCCCTGGGGCCTGCTGGTCTACTTGGTGTTTATGTATAGACTGCCTTGGTAGGCTCATTTGGACATTCGCTCCCATTGGCAGTTTCTGGCAACCGGCTGTCACCGTGGGTCAGTGGACGGGTCCTTGAGGGCTCTAACCATGAAGCACTGAGCCTCAAAGCCAGACTCCAGAACCAGGCCTGCCTGCCCACCCCAACATGTGGGTCACCACCAGCCCCTCCCTCCCACGCCAGGCACACGCACAAGCCTCTAACCCTCGCGGAGCCAAACACTCTGTGGGGGCAAGAGCCATCAACATAAAACCGGCCAATAAATAGAATTTGTGATTTCTTTCCAAGCCAAATGTAAGAAGAAAAAGATACCGAAATGGCTAGTCATCTATTAGCCCTGATTTATATTCTACTTTAATATCTCTTCCAAGGAAATGAAAGGCGTATTTTCATCAAATATAATCATTTATAGCTTCTACAGGGGAGATAAACTGCTCTATGACAATTACTGGGGCAGATAAAACTGGAAGACGTGCCATGACAGGGATAGCTCCTCCAGCAGTCACCCCGAGGCAGGTGGCCAGAGGGAGGACCCCACCAGCCTGTGGCAGCCTGTGGCAAGGGACAGAGCAATACTGCTCACAGGCCACAGCATGGAGGCAAACCTGGGCCGTGCTTCTGATGACTCCCTCCAGCCCACTCTTTGGCTTTTGCAAACCTCTGAGAAAAGAGAGGGCAGTGAAATTCAGTTGATATGCAACCGACCCAAATCTACCACCCAGTGCATCTGCCCTCCCAGGAAGCATATCTCGCTCACTTCGGTGACAAAAATTAAACAGAGGAATGCTACATCCGGGGTCTTGGTTCCCTCGTGTTCCCTTGTTAAAGTGCCACAGACTAAACCCAATGTCTAGGGCCCCAGAGGAAATTTCCTCATCCTCCTGGTGTTCATACATGGAGAAGGTATTAGGTGAGAATGCTGTGCTCATTCTTCGTTCAACGACTACTGAATGAAGGCACAGCACTAGGCACTGAGATACAGGGGGAACAGGACAGACCAGGTCCCCACAGAAGTGACATTCTCCATGGGGGAGAAAGACCATGAACAGTTACACAGATACGTTGGCCAGGTAAGGAACCCAGGGTCACAGCAAATAAACCAGGTTAAAGTGATGGAGGGAGGGGGTAACCTTTCTGGGGAGGGGGTGATCAGGAAAGGCCTCTCTGAGGAAACCGAGGCCTGAGTAATTAGTAGGGAACAGCCACACAGACCTGAAGAAGAACATCCAATGCCAAAGGTCCTGAGGCAGGAGAATTCAGTGACTTAGAGTAGTGGTTTCCAGGCAGGGCTTCCCAGAGTCAGAACTACTGTCATAAAAATAACAAGACAGCATTTTCCTTTTACTTCCATTCTCCTAGGAGCATAGTTTTCCAGAGGCCACATAATGTATGCTATTGCAACAGATGGAAAGCAGAAACAGACACGAGAATCCAGCTGTCTTCTATAAAGCCAGATAGTAGAGATTTGCAAAAATATAAAACACTGGTTTTTTGTTTCTGTTTTAGAAAAAGGTGTTGCTCGTAAAAAAATGTCATTTCTGTTTACATGTGATGGGTTTATTTTCCTTAAATAGATAAGTAAATACTTAAAGCATTTCTCAGTTTTCATTTCTAATCCTGAAATATCAATAGATATAATCCATATCAACCAAAGTTCTTTGGGTTCCTCAATACTTTTGCAAAGAGTATAAGGGGGCCCTGAGGCCAAAATTTTGGCAAGTGCTGACTCAGAGAGCAGTTGGGGATGGTGTGACCATGCGGTACGGGAACTGCATCTGAGGGGACAGCGGGGGCCGATCTCACAGTGATCACGCAGGATCAGAGTGGGAGATCTGGATTTTGTTCTAAGTGCAACTGGAAGCTACTGGAGGGTTGCAGGCAGGGCACAGTATGATCTGATTTCTGTTCTAGAAATATCCCTCTGGCTGAATGGGAGGGAGAGGATGAGACTGAGAGCCAGAGAATGCTGGGGATGCTGGTGACTGGGAGGGGAGAGAAACGGGTATATTCTGTAAGCAGAGCAGGCCAGTGTGTGTGGGAGAGGGAAGAGCAGGATGCAGATGATTCCAAGATGCTGGGCGGCTGTGGGGCCGACTACTGAGGCAGCAGGTGGGGAGGAGACTGGGGGCCAGGGAGAGCTCCTCTCCCTCCTCTGAGTGATGCTGATTCTCAAAGGTTTTATACTTTGCTCTTTAGGTCACATCTCCATCCCAGGCCAAGGCAGGAGGGATGCTAGGCCTTTTTATCCAAGGGCCCAGACAGCTGACCTGGAAAGCACATCTGTGAGAATTGTCCCCACCCCAGCCCACACCTGAGTGGCACTTCCAGGGGAGAGAGAGCCAAAGGGTGGATGGCCACCTTTAAGCAACTACCGTTGACTTGCCAGAGTTCCAACTGGGCCAACTTCACATACTCAACCCTGTGACCAGCAACAGGACACTGGGCATTCCAGCTGTGCCAACTCTTCTGCCAGGCAGGCCACTGTAGACATGGCCACACCCCAGCACTGGATGACCCCACAGCAACCCTTCTAGAGCCCAGGCAGGGTGGGAGAAGTAAGTAATAAGTCATTGTAAAGCCTGTTGCAAACAGAGAGATGATTATGCAGATGCTGAAGAATGTGACATTTGGCTCTATTTATTTACACTCGTCTTGTTTCAAAAAGAATGGAGCGGAAACAGGCCAGGGCTATTCTCCTTAACCCACTAGATCCCGAGCTGAAGGAAGCCCCAATGACCCTAAAGAAATGATTTCTTAACTGATATAATGTTATATGACAATTTTATCTTAATAAAAAATTACAAAGTTGTGCTTATAAATGTAATAAAATCACAACTGTGTATAAAAAGAATGATAGAAAGGAAGAAAGAAAAAAAATCTGTATTTAGTTAACCTAGACTCATGGTCATCATTTATATTTATTTAGTGACTCTCTCTACAGAACCCAAAGCAACCTGGAGAATGTGTAACCAAGAACCCTTCTGACCCTGGAGCAGGCGGAATCATCTCACACTTCACAGCTGAACAGGCAGTGCTACAATCAGTCTCGTAGGCTAACACCGGTTCTAAGAATGAAAACAGCTCCGGCTTGGGTGGAAGCGTGAACTGTGCACGTTTTCCAGCGTGCGTGTTGGGACTACATGTATCAAGATGAAAAACCTCCCCTTTGATGGCAGATCCATCACTGGAAATTTATCTCACAGACACCTGAGGTTTGCACAATTACACAGATAACCCGAGGATGTGACACTGTAAGAGCTAAACATTGAAAATGGCCCAAACGGCCAATAATACCAAATGTTATAAAATATTTTTTTTGGTCCCTCCAAATCATACAATACCCACAGTTAATGAGCATGAAGTAGATTTATATGTGCTAACATGTAATGCTGTCTTATTAATAAAACCGGCCAGGCGCAGAATCACGTATATGGTATAACCCAGGTGTAAAAACAGACAAGCAAAGACATATATATGACATACAAAGAAACATTTCTGGAAGGATATGTAAAGAAATTGTTAAAAGTGGTTACTTCTAGGGCCAGGTAGACTTATTTTTCATTTTATCATGTCCTGTTTGGATTCTCAAATACCATATGCTTACAGTATATAATTTCTAAAATGAATTAAGCAAGCCAAAGAATGAAAACAGAAAGAATCATGGGGTGGAAGGGAAACAAGGACCCTGGTTTTGGACAGGTGCTTATGGCTATATTTTGTTCTTAAATCAATACATGCTTTTTTCGTTGTTGTTGATCCTCACTTGAGGATATTTTCCCACTGATTTTTAGACAGAGTGGAAGGGAAGGAGTGGTGGGGCTGGGAGTGGGGGGGAGAGAGAGAGAGAGAAACATTGATGTGAGAAAGACACATCAATTGGTTGCCTCCTGCATGTGCCCTGACTGGGGATGGGGAATGAATCTGAAACCCAGGTACATGCCCTTGATGGGGAATCGAACCTGTGACCCTTCGGTTCAAGGGCCAACACTCTAACCACTGAACCACACTGGCCAGGGCTCAATAACTGCTTTTGAAAACATTTTGCAACATTTGCGATGGATGTTCAAAACCCTAAAGTGGGGAGGTTAAGTTACAAGAGACGCAGGGCCTATTTTCTGAAGTTTTGCAATGAAGAGCAAAATTCTCTTTCGGGGGGTAGGGGTGCATTTGGATTTACTTAAATCAGAAGTGTCAGAATAGGAAGGGGAGAGCCTGCCCTTCTGGAGCAGTTCTTTTTGCTCTTCCAAGGCAAACTCGAACTTTCTATTCATGTTTCCTTTTTGGGAGAGGGAAGGAGGGGTTAGAAAGGAGCTTCGGTGAAAGTGGTTAGAGAGGCTGCCAGATAGGAGACACCAGCAGCCTCCTTGGGGGCAGCAGCCGGGCCTTCTCTGAAGTCTCACTTCTTTAGAGGGTTGTAGCAGGAACCACACACAATCTCTTTCTAGTCATCCTACATGGAGAAGGAAATTACTCTCCCACAACCTCATTACTAATCATCTAAGCATTTCCAAGAAACATCTTTCTTAATTCTGAGAAGTCCTTCTATATCCCCAACAAATCTCTGGAAAACCAAAGCCAGGCAGAAGAACACCAAAGAGAAAGCCAAAATTTCTTTCTGTGGCTTGTGTTTAACCTTGTGCTATACTTTGATAAATTCTAAGAAATTTATCTGGTGCTCCCAACTGGCTGGATTTCTGAGAAGGGAGAAGCAGCTTACACTGGCTTGGTGGGGGAAGCCCTGGAACCCGTGGGAGGGGGACAGGCAGCGGCGCAGGGTGGGGCCGGCTCACCTGGCACCTTGTCCACGGACGCGAACACAGATCGCTGCACTGTGGGGTCACTGCTGCCTCGGCGGCTCTGGTCGTAGAATCGGAAAGGCAGGTGCTGGGAGGAAGAGGAGGAGCCGAGTCCAAATCCAAGGACTTCAGTAGTTGGCTGGATCGGAAGGTCCAAGAGGGCTATGTTCAAACAAACCTATGGTCATGCTTCGGGCGTGGGACAAGAATGTAGGTGATGAGACTTTGGGTGGGGCAGTTGTAGCTAAAGTGGCCAAGGCCCTGCAAGGCACAGCCCTTGGGCGATGCCAAGCAAGTAACTGGCAGCCTTAAGCCAGGGAAAGCAGTGTGACACCATAGGTCCTGCCTGAGCCTCAAAACATAGCATGTACCTGGTGAGGGATTCGAAAATGGACATAGGACCAGATTCCCCCTGAGCTTCTTGCTTCCACACGTACAAGGCCGAGGCTTAGCCTGAGGTCCAGTCTCAGACCCCAAGGCAAATGGGGCCAATTCTGCCCTGAAAGTTCACATATATGTGCATGTGGGGAAGAAGATACATGTGTGTCTATTTATGAGTGTGTGTTTATCTGTCACAACTGCTTCCTCCCGTCCATAAACAAATCTTATGATATAGCAATTTGAAGGGGCTTTTAAAAATCAATTGAAGAAATACCCAAGGCGTTAGTTCTCAGAGCCACTTTATGGCATAATTCTCAATTTTCAAATGAAATATTTAGCCTCCGTGGCAGCTGTGAGAAACTGCTTTACATTAAAAAAAAAAAAAAAAAAACCCTCTGAAAATAAATCTTCAAGGAAAGGACTGAATGATTTAAGTCACTTTGCACATTATAAATGCTTCTGTAATGATTTGCAGGCCAAGTTTCGGCTAAGTGAGAAGTAAGATGAGGACTCTCTGGGATGCAGGCCTGCACAAATCAACAAGGCATGTGCAGAAAGAACAGTCCACAGCATCCAGAAACCCTGCCCTCCGCATCTTTATTTTTAGTTAAGAAAGGTCTCTTCCTCCCCAGTGGGCTGGGAAGCCTCCTAGAGACCACACCAGAAAGAACATCAGCACTGGACCAAAAGGCGCTGGTGTCTTCAGAAAAACTTGACACTTTTGGTAGTTGATAGGATGCCTTTTCCCCAAGGAAAATGCTATGCCTTCCGCCCTGATGACTGGAACACCCTCATCTCAGTGCCTTTACTTCTAAGAAAGCTGGGGACTTCCCGACACTGGGCAGGAGTGGGCATCCTCCCAAATTCTCCACAATCCCTGTGAAATGTACAACTTCTGATTTCAGGCTGGGTCCTGGCTCTCTCACCAAGCAAGGCGAACTCTCATGAGAGCTGGGAAGAGGTGGGTGTTAGAGTAGGAAGTTCTGCATTTGGGTTCTTCTAACTAGCTGCCTGTGTGACGTGGGGCAAGTCACTGAGCCTCAGTTTGTTCTTCTATAAAGTGGGCAGAACATGCCCTACTGATCTCAAGGATTATTTTAAGAATCAAAGGCAGTACACAAATGTGGAAGCATTTTGTAAATGTTAGCTGGAGAATATCCGTGTGCAGAAGTGAGAACAGTTGTCCCACACTGATGCCTGCCTGTTCATGGCCTCTTCCCTGGTCGGGAGAGCTCTCCTCCTCTTCCACAAAGCCCTAGAAACTCTCTAGAAATCAAGTACATAAGAAGTGGGAAATACTGAGCAGATTCTCCTTCTTTCACCAAAACACAATTAATTCCCAAACCATATGTATTCTTTACTGGAGGAGTTATAGGGGTTCTCAAGGTCAATGTGAGAAACACGATGGCAGCCCTATGGCTGCTTCTGCCCCCGAGGGCTCAGAGGACACTGCGCCGGGACCAACCACTCACCAGCTATCCTCTGCATCTTCATGCGCCTTGCCTGAATGCGGCCCTTGGCCAGGCGCTGCTTGGCAATGATGCAGCGGATGTGGTCCGAGAAGACAAAGGTGGCCTGGAGGATGGGGAAGGGCTTGGAGTGGGGACTGGACGCAGGCTTGTGGATGGTGATATTCAGGGCACGGCTGTCATCTTCCACACCAGTCACCTGCATGTCCTGTAGGGGCGGAGGTGAAAGAAAATGGCTTGTTAGGTTAAGGAGGGGGGCGACTGCTCAGAAGCCGTGGGATCCATGTGTCATTCACAAGAGGCCCCCCAACCCAAATTTTGACTTTGCTTTTGCTCTGAGGAGACCATCAGCCACCCAAGTCTAAGACAGTCAAGGATGGACACAGACCAGAACAGGCATAGCAGGAGCAGACAGCGTGGGAAGCATAGAGCGTTCAGAAGGAGCGATGCTGGTGGTAGTGATGGTACCATCCACAAGAGGCCTTGCATCAGCCTCTTCAAGGGGCCGTGGGAAACCCAGCAGTCAAACTCCAACATTCTTGCTTCTGAGAAGCCAGTGATAACAACCCCAAGTTTTTATGCCACCCGGCATGATAGTAGATAGATTGACACATCTATGAACCAATTTCTCCCTTGTTTCTCTTAAGAAGGGGGAGTCATTAGCACCCATCTGTATGTCTCTGAAGCATTTCTGGTTCCTAAAGGCAAAAGCTAACTCCAAGAAAGAGAAGGGAGGCATTTGAAGAAAACTATTTTTGAAAGTTGGAAAAGGAACTCACATATAACAAGTGTAATTAAGACTAAATCCAATCTAAAACCACCTCAGAATGGATTCATGTAAAGAATTTGCTTCCTGCAACGGTGTGAGGTAATTTAAGATAAAAGCCTGAGACAGGAGATAGACATGAACGTCAGGCATGCTACAGGAGGCGGGAAAAGTGCTGGAAAAGGCTTATTAAGATGGCTGCTGTTCAGAGGCATTCCATCTGGCACGGGCTCTTTGGAAATAATACCTGCGTGGAGATGTTGCAGTGGGGATTAGATGAGGTATTACATATTTAAAACGGAGAGTTTGGCACACAGTAACGGTTTGACAAATAGTGGCTATTGGAAGATGACCAAAAGAAAAGGTTTATGTGGCTTTCATTGTCTGATGGAGGACATGTATTAATCCTTCGAGGAAGAAAAACACTTTCCTAACACTAAATTGTAAAGGAAATTGATCATAAGCTTAGATAAATAAGAAGCACTAAGTCACCTAATGGACAACCACTTACATGGAAGTCTTTTTATAAATAAAAGATTCTTCATATAGTCCTTTCTCACATCACCCTTGGTAAAAGACATTCTTTAAATGGAAAGATCTTGAAAAAGAGGAGGTTGGGGAAAAGGTTGCAACAGCAGCTTTAAACGAGTGGGTGGTTCTCTTGGAGAGCGGCACGCTGCCAGCAGGTCACATTGTGGAGAGGCGGATGTGGGTCGGCCCGAGCAAGGCCTTGCCAGCCTTGCCAGCAAGCAGGCCTGCTCGGCAAGGACACGGACCGCCTCAGAGCAGGGCAAGTCTCAGGCCTGTAAGAGTGCCCTGGACATTCAGGGGCTGGGGTCTGATGGAGCTGGGAGCTAGAAGGCGGTTTTCAACTCTTTTAGTTCTATGCTGCATCAATGAACCAGCTGGCATTAGTTAACTCTCACAGAGACAAACATGGAGAACACCCAAGTCATGACTTGGCTTTTGGCAACTTTGAGCCCAGCTCTGCTGGAGAGGGGTGGGAACAAAGGAACTTTTGCACACTGCCAGCAGCAGCAATCATTTCAGACAAGAATTTGGCAGCGTGTATGAACACTGACAACAGGCATACCCCAACTTCTTGGGATCTGCCTAGGGAAACCCCTGTCCACATGCACAAGGAAGTAAGGTCAATTCTGTTCACGACATCACTGTTTGTAGAGGTAAAAATCTAGAACAGCTGTAAGGCACTGGCTAACTATGCCTTGGTATCATTAGGCAGCAACGAAAAGAACACCAGTAAGTCTGCATATACTAACATGTCAGTTCTCCAAGGTGTATGTTGAGTGAAAAATGCAAAGTCTGGACTACGTTCAATGTGACACTGTAAAAATACATACACGTACTCCCTTCTCAAGTATATGTACACAATTTTTAAAAGCAGTACAGGTAGTTACATTTATATATGTAGTTGGCAGAGAACCATATCTGGAAGGACTGCTGATAATGGGAGGAGGGGAGTGTAAGAACTGGGTTTGGGTCAACGAGGACCTGACCCGGATCTGTGAGATATTTTTATTTTTTCAATGATAATCTGTTCATGTGGCCCTTGTGTCATGAGAAATTAACTGTAAAGATGATACTTGTGTGTGTTTATAGTCACCGGAGAAGACCTTCTGGAGTTCTTGCCGTCGTACCTGCAGGAGGCCTGCGAACTTGACCACTCCCCAGCCAAGCCTGGACACATCAGGTTCCACCAAACTCATCTGGTAAATATCGACAGCCAGGAATCGCTGGACCATGCCACCATCCTTGGTGATCACCGTGCACGCGATCAGGTCGCTGTTGTCTGGGAGGAGAGAGACAGAGCAGAATGAGGTGGAGCCTGGCTTCCCAACCTGATGAAGACATCGAGCTGACTCATGTTCTGCTGGGCAGCAGAGCTCAGTAGTCAGAGCCCAGGCTTGGAATCACACACACCTGGGTCTGAGTCCCTCCTCTGAGTCACACTGGGCAACTTTCTTTACCTCTCCGGGCTTCAGATTCCTCATTTGAACAATGAGGATGATGTCCATTCCTCTCAAAGCACTATCTGTGAGGCCCGATATAAAGTATACAGAGCATTAGTGCAATGTTTACTATACATTAGGCGCTCAAACTGTAGCTAAAAACTGAGAATCTCAGTAACATTTCAGCGCTTCCTTGCAGACCACTGGAGGTTTATACTGTGACCTGGTGTTGGCCTGAATTAAGTGAAGACAGCAAAGGAAGAGTCTTCTGCTTGGTTACAGAACTACCAAGACCTTAAGGTGGTGTCTGGCAACGTAGAGCTGAACTCTGCACTAGACGGTGTGTGATCCCGGGGAAGCGCTAGGCCCCTCTGAACACGGTTTTCCATCTGGAAGATGGAAACGATGTCCCCTTTCATGAGATGTTTGGTGTATTAAATGAGAACAAACAGGTAAAACATTTAGATTGGGGTCCTCAGTGCACGCTGGGTTCCTTTTTTTACATGAAAGTCACTTCCAAATTTGATGTCTAATTTAGTGCCTATCTGATGACAAGGAAATCACCAGGACCATTAAGTCTACAGCATGCTTTGAGTTCCCTCCAATGGAATTCTCTGCTACATGTCTTAAAAGAAATAGCCAAACCAGGAAACAACCTAAATGCCCCTGAATAGGGGAACATTTTGAGTTTGACTTTTTCCCATCACATGGAAAATTATACACCATTTAAAAATTATGTTTAACCAAACTGTGAACAGTGGTTATCTATTGGGAGGGAAGTGAGAACTGGGAGTAGGAGTGTGTGTGTGGTCGGTGGGGGGAGGGAAAATATCAATGAAACAACTTTAATTTTTGCTCACCATATAACTGTTTTGCTTGAAATTATTTTAAAATGAGAAAGCATTCAAGGTGTACATTTGAAATACATATTAAAAACTCAAATTAAAAAATCCTATTTACAAATAATTGCAGTGACACTGGAAAAGACACTAAAAATATGTTTTTAAAAAAATCCCTACAAAGAAATATAAGTGTTGCCCTGGCTGGTTTGGCTCAGTGGTTAGAGTGTAGGCCTGAGGACCAGAGAGTCCCAGGCTCACTTCCTGCTAAGGGCCCGCACCTCAGTTGCGGTTTGTCCCCGGCTCTGGTTGGGGTCGTGTAGGTGGCAGCTACTTGATGTGTCTCTCCCGTGTTGATGTTTCTCTCTCTTCCCCCCTCTCTCCCTCCTGCTCTATCTGAGGATAAATGCAAAAATGTCCTCGGGTGAGGATAAAACAAAAAAAAGAAATATAAGTGCAACCCGGCCAGTGTGGCTCAGTGGTTGAGTGTCGACTCATGTACCAAGAGGTCACCGATTCAATTTCTGCTCAGGGCACATGCCCAGGTTGTTGGCCCGATCCCCAGTAGGGGGTATGCAGATGGTGGCCAATCGATGTTCTCTCTTATTGATGTTCCTCTCTCTCTCTCCCTCTCCTTTTTTCTCTCTCTAAAATCAATAAAGATAAAAAAGAGAAAGAAATAACAAGTGCAGAGAAATATACTAAAATCTTTAAAGAAGTCTCTGATTAGAAGACTGGTGGGTGGTTTTTTTTACCAACAGCTTTGAGGTAAAATTTTATATCATAAAATTCACCCATTTTTAAGTGTACAGTTTGTATTTTAGTAAATTTACAGTTGTGTAAAACTACATCCCAGCTGTAGAAGACTCCCACCACCCCAATAAGCTCTATCAGGAGCACTGTAACCTGATATTCAGCTCACATTTATTGGTGGTGGGGCAGTGGAGGTAACACAGATGGTATAAATTCTGGTCCCAAACACGTGATAACAAACTTGGGCTCAGGTATTCGCCAAGGCAACCCCCCTCTTTTACTTTTCATTTAGATCTAAGGGACAATAAATTTCTCCTCTCTCTCTCTCATGCACCCCCCTACGCACACTTCAGTTTAACCCTCTGAGGGCATAATCATCTGGGAATCTGGACTCATGAAGATGGATGTTTTCCAACCCATCTTCTCTGTTTTTACAGGCCTCGTGTTTCTGTCTGTTTTTCCCAACATCTGACCACCTAGGGTAGTCAGATGCTCCCATGGCAAACACCAGCACCAGACAGGCTTAACTCTCTGGATTGCACTTTCTTACTATCGAGGGCAAGAATCTTCTTCCCTTTCCCAACAGTCCAGCCAAGTGTTGTAAAAGATTTCCAAAAATTACTTTATCCAGAATTTCTAGTTCCACACTGGAAAACATCCAGACTTATCAGAAATGTAAGTCATCATTTTCATTCTTATAAACATCTTCTTTGTGGTAGACAGAGTTTGTTTCCTTTACTTAATACTTCAGATATGTTCCTCAATGAGAATCTTTTACTTTTTTAAAAGTCGAAAATAAAACTAAATAAACAGAGGGTGCTTTTCCTTTCCTTTATGTCCTTTCTCTTTCTCCCCCCCTCCCCGCCCCGTACCTCCCCCTCTGAACAGACCAACTCTGCCTTCTTTCTTCCGACATTCACAAAGGGTGCACCCTGGGGCAGCAGGCAGAGCCAGCCAGAGGTGTTGGTATCAGTGGGGCGTGTGGATGACAGTGGGGTTTGTCAGCAGGCAACCCCCTCATAAAGCCCAGCAGCCTCAGGGGCTTCAGGGGAAAAAAGACCTACCACCTCTGCCACAAAGAACAAAAAAAGGAAGAACTAAACCCCAAAGCGGAACAACTTTCAGCAATGTAATTGAGGCATCAAAGCCCTGTGAGAGATTTCATAAGAAAACTAAAAGCAACTGCCACCATGAGACAGGAGCGCTCGGAGAGGAAGGGAGCCTGGCTTTTCAGAACCTGTAGGGCAGTTAAGGAGAAGCACAGTGGCTTCTGAGGATTAAAGAGAAGAACATCTGTCAGAAGATGAAGAGGATGCTGGTTGGGGGACTCGTTTGTGGTTCTCTTGGGTGTCATTTTAGGGAACTCCCTCACCACACTGGCCCTCGGCTACTGTCCTGGGGACAGGGCTGTCTGGTCACCTTCGGATGGTCATGGTGTCTTAGGTGGAGGAGGGCCCAGAAGAGAGCTGCTGTCACTTTCAGCCGGGGGAGCCCTGCTGGGGGCTGAGGTACCCGGAGGGACACAGGCACATGGGAGGACTTGAAGGCAGGCAGCTATGCAGGGTGCGTGGCGGCCTCATGGACCTCCCTGCCTGCCTCTCTGGAGTGGCCTGTGGCCAGGGGAGGCCAGTGTAGGTGACAGGTCATCCACACACTGGCACTGCCCAAATCTCACTGCCCATCTGACTCTCCTAGGTCCTTCTCCCACCAACTTCATTTCCAAAGGAGCAAGACCTAGGACTTTGTTAAAAAGAAAATTGCAGAAAAGTATCAGAAGACAACATAGGAGAATATCCATATGATCTTACGGGAGGAAAAGCATTTCAAATATATATAAGATTGATAAACTAACTCCTTCAAAATTAAATTTTAACTCATGTATAACAAATGACTTTATAACTTCATGTATACCAGACCAGGGGAAATATATGCAAACCATCTCTAAGAGGCCAAAGATGAGTAAAGCAGGTAATGAGAGGGCTCCCACAGGCCCTGCACAGACAAGCGGACGGGGACAGCTACTCCACACACACAAAGGTGCTCACCTCGTGAGAAATCAGGAAACATGCAAACAAGATACCATCTTTTACCCAGCAGATTGGCAAAAACAAAAATGTCTGATGACATCAAGTATTGGTGAGGAAAAAAAAAAACAGATTCTCAAACACCGCTAGTAGGAGAATCAATTAACACAGCCACTTTGAAGGGCAAATTAGCATTATTTATTAAAACTGAAAGTTTCACACCATATGACCCTGCGATTGGTAAGTTCCCAAGAGAAACACACTTGTGGGCCAAGAGACACAAACAAGGATGTTGATGGCAGGATTTGGGTCTGTAATGTCCAGTAACAGAGAAAAGTCTTTAAAAAAAAAATGTGTACATTCATTCAGTGCAAAGCCACAGGGCAACAAGAAGGAACGAGTTAGATCTCTAGGTATTTCAAGAACATACCACTGAGTGGAAAAAGCAATTTGTAGCATGGCACATGCAGTGTAATACAATTCGTGTAAAGTTAAACCACACAAATGAAACTATTTTCTATGGGTTCAAGTATGTGGATGTGAAAAAAAAGATGTAAGGAAATGTCTGGTGGGTGCACAGTGATATCTGTTGGGGTAGGGAAGGTGGGATTTGGGGTGCAGGGTCAAGGTTATTTTAGTTATTATGTAATGTTCTGATTCTTTAAAGGAAAAAGAGGTATGTCACTTGTGTATTTAAGATTAAATAAAGAGAAAAGTTCATCTCTCTCCATACTCAGACACAGAGGGCTTCAGGTCCCCGTGGGGCCCAGCCAGGGGGAAAGCAGCAGCAGGCCATGCTGTTGACCAGCTGGCTCTGCCTGATCCCCAAGGTGGTGACAATCATCTCGAAAGGGCAATGGCAAGCCAAGGGCTCTCCCACAGCACCTCTTGGTACACAGGTATACACGTTTCCCAGCTGGCCAGGTACGTGAGCCGAAGAACTCTGGCACCCAGTTCAGGTGCTGTACTAGAAAACCAGACCTCAAAAAGTGAGGCTTGGGCCCTGGCTGGTTTGGTTCAGTGGCTGGAGCATTGGCCTTCAGACCAAAGAGTCATAGGTTGGATTCCAGTCAAGGGCACATATCTCGATTGCGGTTCAGTTCCCAGCCCTGGTCGGAGTCATGCGGGAGAGGCAACCAATCGATGTGTCTCTCTCACATTGATGTTTCTCTCTTTCTCCCCCTCTCTATCTAAGGATAAATGGAAAAAGTATCCTTGGGTGAG